AAAGTCCAACTGGGGTAGTCAGTTCATTATTGAACATAACCACAGATATCATTATTTGATAGAATTTTTTTCTTCAGTTCTGCAATACATTGAGATGCAAAGCCATATGGCAGTCTACCTTAGCCAAATATTTTCATCTATTCTCAGATGAATCTAGCAGTAAATCTGATTTCAGTGAAGAATATGAATATTTCTGCAGAGGATTCACAATGGTGATTTGGTTCACTTGTGAAGTACAGAACAAAGTGCCTCTCAAAAGGTATAGTAGCAGTGTGTTCTAATTAAATAAGATACATGTCAATTTATGCAGTTACTTCTTGGTTGTTTGGCATGTGTACATTATAAGTATAGTTCATAGAGATGGAGAGATGGGATCAAATATTTTCAATATATAACTATTTGTTAAATGCAAGGTATTTAAATAAAATTATTAGAGTATGACAAAATAAATATACTCAGCCCAGCACAGTTTTCTTCCCTTTTGCTTTATTTTATAGTACATAATGGCACAAAAGAGACCTCAAGATTTACAAAAAGTAGTGTAAGGATACACATGAGTTTCTTTTTCTCAGATAAATTTATGGTTCCGTAATGATGTTCTATTGGAAAACTAATGAAGCACCTTTTTCAATAACAGTTTGCTAATATAATGTCTCATTATTTGCAAATAGAATGTCTCAAGAATGTGTTAAGATCTATTTATATGTATAGAAATGTGTGTTTTTAATGCTTCCTTATATCCAAATGAAATCATTAAATATACTTAATGTTTCCATGAGCTATCTGATTAACAACTGTAGTCAAATATGTTGGAGAAAATTATCTTTGAAGGTTTTTCATCACTGGTTTAATTAACATACAGTAGACAGAAAGCAAACAATCTGTTCATCCAGACTCCTCAGCAAGCCCTCCTGTTGCCCGTGTTTTCACTACAGCTGGGAAGGGAAAAATTGCATCCCATCTATCTCTTTGTCTTGCTTCTGAATGATTCATTTTGGTGCTGATTTAAAGAGTAATTTGAAATATTTTTATGTGGTTGAAAAACAGGGAAAAGCAGAAAACTAATTTACAATATAGGTAACCAAGCTGTTTTTTTTTCCTGATTTTTCCTTTATTTCTGTCAAAAATCCATTTTGACTTGTTTTATCTTCTCAAAAAAAGCCATTCCCAAATGGGATCGAATCTACACCAATTTCATATTTCAGTCTTGATGAACCATGTACACTGAATTATGAACACAGAGTAACATTTCCTCTACCCATGATCCAGAAGCCTGGCCTATTCATAACATAACCAGGAACACAGAATTAGGTTTAAAATGGCAACCTAAAGGATGTTCACAGAGGCCAGGCCTTACATTCAGAAATTTTCTCATTAGCAAATCTCCCAGGCCCTTCCTGAGATCCTGTTTATTCTTTGTAAACACAATTAGAGGGAGCAAACAATTGGTTTCAGAGTTTGTCATTGCAGATTTTAGGAGGAGCAAACATGTGGATGATAGATGGAATCCAACAGACCCCTGGGACAGCTGTCAGTGGGAGAGCTATGCAAGCAAGGTTTGTCACTGTATGGTGCAGGCACCTGTGAAAATGTCACACTGAACCCCATTAGTATGTACAATTAATATATGTTAATGACAATAAAATAATTTAAAAATTAAATAGTGAGAATAAAAAAGAAATCAGAAACTATTGTTAAACAATGGGAGACAAAAGAAGTCTACAGGAGTCTGGACAACTTCACAAGTACTAGTGTAAGCATGTCTGTCTCTCTTATACAAGAGTTCTGTCTGATAAATTCACCAGCCCCAGTAATCCTGCTAAAGATTGAGTATAGATATTTACTTGAAAAACAAGAGTTTAATACAGGAATTACACTTCTTGGATTTCAACCTACATGGGAAATAAGAATAACATCATTCCTAAGTTTTGAAGCATCTTTGTAGTTGTTGTTTCGAGAAAATGGACAGGGAGAAAAATGAAACGGAGGATTTGATAAACTTGAGAAATAGAATCCTATTTCTCCTCCACAGTTAGTTATTCTGTCTGCTCCTGCTCAGGCCAGGATCCCAGGACTGAGGTGAGGTCAATGGACCTAGCGAGCGTTGTGGAAAGAACGGAATGGATCTACATTACACATACACCAAAAGAAAATGGTAGAATTACTATCAGAAAAGAGAAAATAACATCTATTTAAAAGAAACTGAAAGGGTAAGAGTGGTGACACATGTCTGAGAAGTCCCAGCTAATCAGGAGGATGAGATAAGAGGATCTCTTGAACCCAGGAATTCAAAACCAGCCTAGGCAACATAGTGAGGCCCCATCTGGAATGGAAGGAAAGAAGGAAGGAAGGAAGGAAGGAAGGAAGGAAGGAGGAAGGAAGGAAGGAAGGAAGGAAGGAAGGAAGGAAAGAAAGAAATTATTTAAATGAAATAAAGAAACCAAGAGTTATATTGAAATTCTTTATTTGAAGATTTTTAATGAAGACAAATATTCTTGAGATTTAGGTATATTTTCATTTGATTTATATATTAGAGGTCTGACATGCTCCTTATTGAAGTGCTCCTGTATACCTGTGTGTATTTTTTTTTAATTCAGTTTTCTTTCTGGTGCATTTTAATTCAGTTAGTGTGTTATGTCCCTTACTATTTCTTTCTTTCTTTTTTTTGATACCAGGGATTGAACTCGGGGGTACTTAACCACTGAGCCACATTCCAGCCCTATTTTGTATTTTATTTAGAGACAGGGTCTCACTGAATTGTTTAGCGCCTCACCATTGTTTGGATAGACTAACATTCTATCAAAGATCCCATCTCAGTGTCCAGTTGTCCCTTTATGACTGTTAGTGTCCCCATAGGTGTTGCCTCCTCCTCAAGGTATAAATGCGAGTCACCACCCTGAGTGCAAGTTAAATGTGTCTCTGAAGTTGACCTGAGTTTTGTGCTGGGATGTCTCTTCAGGGTGTTTTAAAATTTTATTGTTTACCTTGGTTGTAAGTTGCCTCATATATTTTTGATAATGAGGCAGGATATATAAATAAAGCAAGTAAAATTGCTTTATGTAGCTGTGCCTAAGATCATAGGTCTTGAGCCTGACACATCCTCAGAAAAAGCTGCCTTTGCAGGTAAGGCATTTTCATTTGTATTTAAAATGTGGGGCAACTAAAGCACAGACAGATTTATAAATTATGCTGAAGGTTTGCTGGTTGTGGGCTAACAGAAAGCCAGTCCAGGACTCCTGAATCTTTAGAATTTTCCCATTACTTAATTCTGTCTGATACTGTGATTCTTGCTCCAAAAGAGTCTGTCAATAATATGCATTCATTCACTCATTCAGTCATTGATGAATATGTAGGTACTGTCCAAAGGCCATTAGTGACAAGAATATTAAAAAAGAAGCATTTTCTAGAGTGACAATGACAATATTGATATCACATATACATTGAATTAAATTGTGGGAGGTTAGGGGACCATGGGATATCCTTCCTGTCCATGAGTTTTGCTTTTAAGGCCGTGTTGGGGATTGAACCCAGGACCTGGAGCATGACAGGCAAGTGCCAAACCCCTGCCCACATTAGTTTGCTTTAGTGTACAGTTCAGCGAATTGAGCACAGGGCTGTATTTCTCTGACTTTTAATTATTTTGTTCCTTGTGGTTCTATTGGCGACTCTCTGGTAGGTTTTCTATCTGGTTCTATCCACCAAAGTTTAAGGCTGTAAGAGCTCTTTTTAGGTTCAGTGCAAAACCTCTGGCTGTCCCCTATGTCTAGAAGAATTATTAGCACCTCTCTGAGTTGAAAGGGATTGTCAGCCATTGTGTCTGCGAGTGAGAGTGGTAACTTTAGTTAGTTACTGGGGTTCTACATTGCTGATTCAGTGGTATGGTGAAAAGCTACATTAAATACACCTTGGTTTCTTGGAATGTTCTTGTATAGAGGGGAATGTCCTGACCATGATTAAATCACTTCTCTCTTCACCCTTTTTGAACCTGTATCCGGCCAGTTATAAAGCCTGTCGATTCACATCTTTTGGTAATGGTTGGCTAGAGGAAGGCTGTTCTTCTTGCTCAGAAACTGAATTTTCAATCTTTGTGGTACACCTTCGCCTGCTGACCTACTGAAATGAAAGACTAGCAGTGATGATTAAATCTAATTTTCCCTCCTGTAGTGGCAGGCTGAGCTGGGTCAGCAGGCTGGTCCTTGCAGATGGCTTTAAAGTACCTCTGTGATTTGATCTCCTTGCCATCCCATCCATTTCTATAAGTGCCTATCACTGTCATCCTTTACCACCCTGACAAGATCCCAAGGTGAGAACAGCACAAATGAACAAGCTCAGAAGCAATGACTCCTGAGGGTGTTGCTTATTAAATGAGTTAGGCAATGAACCAGGTCTGGCTTGTAAACTACAAGGCAGGTTAGCACATTTACAAGAAGATGATTCCATCTATTATTTAACCTATTCAAGGACATTGGTGTTTCTTTGTATTTTAGCATAACTCATGCAAAATAATGTGAACTTACAAAGGTCTGAATTTTATTTTCATATTAGCTGAAAACTGCTTGAGTTCATTATTTTGTTTGGATTCTAGATTACTTTTCAGTAATGTGAACTTACAAATGTCTGAATTTTATTTTCATATTAGCTGAAAACTGCTTGAGTTCATTCTTTTGTTTGGATTCTAGATTACTTTTCAGAACAGTTAAAGTGTGTTTATGAAATGCACTTGTGCAGGGGATGGGGGAGAATACAGATTGCTGCACTGTGCACCTATTTTAGGAACTCTGTAAGATCTGTACATTAACCATGGTCCATTTCTGGTGCATCCTGAAATGCATTCTGCTCAGAGATGCTCATGCCAACTCAAAAAAATATTAGAAGTAAACTGATTTCACTGTATAAGTTGGTTTCATATTCTAATAACTAGCAAAGTTACTTTTCCTTCACTACTAAATAATATGTATATGATTCATACCAAGAGGTAACATAGTTTGTTTCTTTTTCAGATTGGAGATATGAAGTTGCTCAGGCCTTCCCTGGAACAGCAGAGGAGGTGGAAGTGGACTCCCAGGCATACAGCCACAGGTGGAAAAGGAACCTGGACTCTCTCAAGGCAGTAGACACAAACCGAGCAAGCATGGGCCAAGACTCTCCAGAACCCAGGGGCTTCTCAGATCTGCTACTGGATGACGGGCAGGACAACACCACACAGATTGAGGTAGACAAGTTATCTGGGTAGTTGAGATGGATTAATGAATCTATTTGTTGTAATGTGCCCAACTTCTACTATATGTATGTCTTCCCTTCATTTCAATTTCAATCTTTTGGTCTTAAAGAACAATTCATTTTATTAATATAGTAACTAATCCACTAATTAATTCACTCAAGAAATAGACAAATGTGGACTTGGGGTTGTGACAGCACTGAAGGGACAACATAGTACCTGTTGTTTGGAAATTGATTGTGTTTAAGGGTCTAAAGACCATAACCAAATCATCCATGTCTCATAAGACGTTTACAAAAATGTGTACCCTGGTGTGCCAGACAGGAAGGCAGAGTGAACCCCTCTTGAGCTTGAGGGTTAGAGCGATAACAAAGTGGTTTTACCAGGAATGGGTATTTAGGCAGGAGCTTAGCTGATTGATCAGAGTTTACTCAGTCAATAATTTGTTAATAGAAAGAAAGAAGGTTCCTAGTAGTGTGAATCACCTCTGCAATGGCTGAGTGTTGAAACAGCATAGCATGTTGGAGTCTTATGGGTGACGCAGTGTCACAGTTTGCCCAAGGATGTAGGAGTTTCCAGGAATCTAGGACTTCGAGTGCTAACAATGGGCTAGTTCTGGACAAACAGGGATGCTTGGCCACTCTGTGACTATATGGTGTTCTATATGTTATTATGTTTGGAGCCATGAAGCAGCAAGAGGAAATTGGAGTGAGTTTTGGTAAGTATAAAATTTGCAGAGCACACATTTTTAGGCAGATTTTAGGGGCACTCAGAGGCCTCAAAGGTGGGGTTACATTTTGTGTTTCCAGAGTCATTAACATTTCGATCACAAACTATGATCTTGATTGTGAAATAGACACAACCAAAACAAATAAGTAAATCTCGTGGAAACAAAGACTACCCAAATGAGAACAGAGGCTCCTTATTTGGTACAAAATGTGTCAGCCACCTTCATTTTGCTTTTGCTGAAGACTCAAAGGATGGAAAGGAAGTGGAAAAATGGTGGGAAAAGGGAAGGCTTCAGGGATGCTCTGATTGGAGGGGTTTGGCATGGGAAGCTGCTGTGGTTGACTAATGCAGCATCTCTGGTGAACGGTTTGAGGGACATATTTGATTTCTACAGTTGATTCTAACTTAGAAACTGGAACGTGAATAAAGAGAAGCTCTCAGTTATTAATCAAGTGCTGACCATTCAAATCTGACTACTAAGAAGGCTGTGGTTTGGCTTCTTGGAATGGTTGCTATAGCACTTGGGGTCATAGTTCCATGGTGATGCACAGTCTGGCCATTTTCTTCTCATATATTCTCTCTCCATCTGAATTTTTAGTTCCTGCTTTCTCTCAGATGACAGGCTTGTGATTTTAAAGAACGAGGCAACACTCTTTCCTCTGGAGTGCTGTCTCTGAATTGCTCATTATTTAGGAAAAGAATTCAGTGTCATGGGACAGATACTATAGACCTGCAAATGGTACCAAGGTATCATTTTGTTCCATCACAGTGAGAGACTCTTCAGAAGATCTGAAGCACATACTGTTGGAATTCTCTACATGTGAGAAGCCCAGTGATTTCTGAAACCCTCTATGTGACCTCACCATGTGGCTATGGTGTTTCCTGTCTTCCCCAGCCACTTCCTTTAACCAGCAGCAGGCGATGCATAAGGAGCAGAAGTTGTGTAATTTTAGGGTCATAAGAGACTATGACTATGACTCCTACAGTGTGTCTGCTATTTTGGTAATAATGTTGTTTTAACAACTTGGAGTAGGCAACATCATCTACTCAGGCCACTCATTTGCTGGGGCTTAGCATAAAAAAAAAGGGAGAGTCTACCTGAAATAATCAGGCATGTACTCTGCCCAGGACGAGGACCTTACAAACTAAAGGGGGACAACACAGGTTCCTGGAACTCTGTGATCTCTCCTAATCACTAGTGTAATAGAAACTCCCTTTCCTCCCTTTTTTCTCACATCAAAATATAATCCCTTTATTATTATAACTGAAATTTGTTATTCCATCACTTTTGTTTTCTGTTTTCCACTTTAACAGAAGGAAATCACAAATGATCAGGAGTTTTGAATCAGTACAATGTAGGAGGAAGGATGGACAGGTAGCTCTTCTATGGATACTTAACTTGAAGCTGAAATCTGATGGATGTTCTATGGATGCTGTCTGTTTTGTTCATGATAACAACCTTGTGAGATGTGTGTCCCCAGGTTCCATGGGCAATAATAATGACTTTTTACACAGGGCATTTTCATATTTAGTTTTAGATGCTTTCTATTAATCATTAATGTGATTAGCATTCAAACCCAGGCTTGACAGGCTCCCACGATTTATCCTTCTAGGTACCTGAGCTTCCTCTACTAGGAGGAGAGACAATTGCAGTTGCATTCTGTAGTGGTTTTGGACAGGCAGCCCCTGCATAGCCACATGGGAGTAACCTTAGGGTTCCAATCTGCCTGGAAGGAATTGATCATGGAGCCACAGCTGCTCTTATAATAAGAGCACTGCCTACCCTTATATTGAAATTTATTTTGATGGGATTCTGGGTTTTGATGGAGATGATGGGGAATCTTCCTAAGTTGTTCCTAGGTACTGCTACTTGTTTTAGAAAAAAAAAATAATCTTTGTCTGAAACTTCTTTGGAAAGTTTTAGTTATCCTGATCCTTAAGTAGTATTTAGGATATATTAAGGATATGCTGATCCTGGAGTAGTCTGTTTGAACACTGATGTTACCCCTCTTGGGGAGAATTCTTTTGCCTAATCAACTTAAATATTAATAATAAAAGGAATCCATTGGCTAAAATTGACTACTCACAGGTAATTGTTGTGATAATATTTTTCTTATCTTTTAGAAATAAGTACTTTGGTTCATACTGCCAAATATAAGCAAGGTTCATGAAAGACTATGGGCATCTTTTGCTTTAGGTGCTTTCAAAGTCAATGTCAAGAATCTGAATCATTTTGTCCAGCAGCCCTGTCTGTAGCTATTAAAATCATTTGTATCCCAGTGAAACTGAAACCACTAAGAAGGGCATTATTGAAAATGTTCTTCTCTTTTCTTCCATTGTCTAGACTTTATTTCCCATTTAAAAAAAATGAAAACAAACAAAAAAAGACAATAGCATGTTTATCCTTTTGTTAAACATTCATTCTGAAATATACAAAGGCTGTTATTCTCTTTGATTTGGTGCTTGGTGATAGTATTTTTTCTGGCTCTGCATCAGAACAGATAATGGAAGGATTGTAAAACTGGCTATTCCGATTAAAGAATTCTTTCAATTTAAGTTTTATTATTGTTTCTATTGTTTTCTTTTTAAATTTTCTTCCCATAAAGTTATAGTAGATTTCAAAAACATTTTTGTATTTCCTCTTGACTTCAAGAACCCGTCAATGATAGCTGTCACTATTGATCTTAATGTTGATTTCTGGTGGATCTTTATTCTTTTTTTTTAAACCAGGGATTAACCCAGAGTCAATTAATCACTGAATCATATCCCTAGCCCATTCTAATTTTAGAGACAGGGTCTCACTAAGTTGCTTAGGGCCTCACTAAGTTGCTAAGGCTGGCCTTGAACTTGTGATTCTGCTGCCTTAACCTACTGATTGGCTGGGCTTATAGGCATGTACCACCTAACCCAGAGAGATCTTTATTCTTATGTATCCTCTACTCATGTAGCCAGGTAATCAATGAACCTTTGCTGATTTGTAGGAATTAAACTCAAGGTGTCAGAAAAAGCCAGTAAATGTGCAACTTTTTAGAATAATTTCAGAACTATAAAATTATTTCAGGTAAAGTTGAAATCCATTCATGATTTGGCCTTGTTTAAGCAGACTGCTGTGAATCCCATGATTCCAAGGATACAACCATAAACAAACAGTCTGGGGGACACCTGGTCACCTGGAAGCAGGCTGCTTTTCCTTTTCCCAGCAGGGAGCTCTTACAGCAATATCAGTGGTTCCTAGAATGGAGAGAGCCTTAGCAGTTGTTTGCTGAGAATTACAGGTGCTTCATAAAGTTCAGTTTCATCAGCCTATTCCTAAAGGATAATGTTGGTATCTTATAGTTCTTCCCTTTGTAGAAATCGATCACAAATTCCTTTCTGACACTCTGAAGCAAATACATAGTTTTTTCTAGTTAGTCACATGTAATATTGGAAACTGTCTTATGTCTTCCCTTGAGAATCTGGGTAAAACACAATGTCTCAGTTCTGTGCTAGAGGCTTCCTGACAGTCTGCATTTCTAACAAGTTCTCACTGATGACATCTCTGGCAGGGCCAAAGGCCACACTTTGAGTTGCAATGAGCTAGACCACAATGCAGAATTAGATATGAGTTTTGAAGATATAAATGGTATGAAAAATCTTTTTATTGTTTACCAACAGAATGCCTTATAGAATCCTCATGCTGGTATAAATAAATAAATAAATAATGGTAGGCATAGCCAGGCAAAAGGGGTGGACGGGGGGATAAAACATCACGGTGTCAAGCAATTGAAAAGGAGAAGAAATATGGCATAGGTTGATTCCTATGTGATGAAGAACCTGATCCTGTAGAGAGCCAGGATTAATGTAGGGAAAAGGTGTCATTTGTATGTGTCATCTTCCATGTGTGAATCCGAGTTCATATCTGAGGAAAATACAAAGGAGAATGATCAGCAAATACATGTAATAGATTTAGCTAAAACTAGAGATCAAGAATTTTTCTCTTACAGACAGATGTAAAACTCTTTGATCTTTTGCCATTGCACATGCTGCCAGTTGTGTGGGAATCTTATTGTTCCAAGTTGTACATTTCTTTTAAAATTACCAATTGTCAAGGGCTGCACACAGGTTATTGTATGAGCTCTAATTTTTTGTCTATGTCTAAAAGGTAATCTATTTAAGATGAAAAAAGTCATTGGAAAATGCTTAATCTAAATAATAATATGATTGCCCTTATGATTATTTTTAGGAAGAGGCAAATTTTATCATTTTGATAATAGGCAGAATCTTCA